CCTTAAAACTTTTTTAAACATTTAAATCACACATTTGTCTCAGGAAGTGAAATTTTTTGCAAAACAAACTTATTTGTGCATGTCAGAAATATTTTCTTGATATTCAAAGTTTTTGTTTGACTCAAAGTTTTGCTTGTGATTCTCACATGACGTCATGGGCAAGACCCAAAATCGCAACAAAAGATTTCTGATGCAAATAAAAGTTTATGTTTGGCAAATAACTTTTTAAGTTCACAAGACAAAAATGAGTTATTTAATTTAAAAAAAGTTTTTTAAACAAAACTTTTTGTTTTAAAAAAAGAAATCATTACAATTCCAAAAGTTTTGATTACAATTTTATTTTACTTAACTGAGGTTAGTTTATTTTTTCCCATTGAATAATTGGGGGGGAAAAATTAACTACATACTCTGCGAACCAGACCCTAAACTTAAAGTCTGGGTTGAGTTTTTTCCCCTTCATTAATGGCATACATTATTTCTATCATGGTAATTCAGGGTGAGTTATTTTTAATTCTAAATGAATATCCTCGTTGGACTTTTATGTAAGTGCTATTCTCCTTCAAGATACATTTACTTAACGCCAGAATAAATGCAATGTACATTATGCAGCAAAGGAAATTAGAAGATCGGACATATATCCATTATGGAGATGATACGTTTTGGACAGGCGATGTGCCTCGTACACAGGGAAGAAGCTTTTCAGTTATCTAGCTTTGCTAGCAAAGTCGTAGCTAGCAGCTAGCTAATAGCACAACAACAGCAGCCTAATGTCTGTATGATAAAAATACTGAATCGATAGATAAGAACAGTTTTTTCCTCACCTGGCTGNGCGTTAGGTGATTTTTCAGCTGTATGGAAATAGTTTTATTTCGCAAAACTCCAATAGAAATTCTTTTTTCACATCATGTGAGTCACGTGATCAAGAGATGACAGGAAATGGTAGGAGTATGATGATTTGCAGCTGCCGCCACCAGAACTCTCACACCATTAAGCAGTTCATTAAAACTTGTGTGTCACTCTAACGTGTTGACTCCACAACTCTTCCTTATATACGTAGCCGCTCCCAAGTATAAGCTCTAACGAGTGAGACGCTGACGTCTCCTACGGTGGCTGAGATGTTAAACACTTAACTGTTTAGCTGTTTACATCCGTCACCACCGTACGTACTTATGTTCAAGCTTATTCACGTGTGATTTTAATTTATTTTCTTATTTAATGGAAACAGCACAATTGGAAATTTTTTTTGTTTCCCCCCGAATATTAGACAAAGATTTAAACACGTTTGTAATAAAAACGCAGCTACTGACCTTAATTGGATTCGGAAGGACCCCAGGTGTTCGTTCCAGAGGGTGTTGGTGAGTTGAAGTTCTTTCTTCACTTTTACAACCCAAGAAAGTCATTTTCTATTTCATGTTGAAGAGGAGTGAACGTTTTACTCATAGCGTCATTTTCCCTTTCTGCCGCCTACGTTGTACGTGTCGCGTGCTTTAATGAGAACGTTTTAAAGAAGGATTAAGAGGAAGCTTTTGATTCTGCCTGTAATAGACTTCACAAATTGAGTGAGTCATCATCTGACCGGCGGCCCGCGGCTCTCCCCTGCTTCATTGGGTCATTATCCGTAATGATAAGTTGATGTCATTCAGAAATGTAATTTCACGGCTTCGTTTTGGACGGTCGGATTGACGCGCTAGCGTCACCTCCCTGGCTGAGGTGCAATTTCCTGGAGATAAAGTGGAAACAAATTGAGCTTTTAAAAAGTGTATTTGAATGTATGGTAGTCATTGTTATGTATGTTATGGCCTAATTGTGAAGATGGAAAATCCACAGGACAGACGGAGAATCGTCTTCTTTTGGGTTTGCACAACCACCTGATCCTAGTGCCAAAATTCTTTAGCGAAATATGTGTTTTTTCGAAATTGTCGCGTTTCCATTAAGCTCAACCCCCCAAATATCAAATTACATTACACGGTCAATGTAAACGCATCTGCTGTTCCATTTACTACTAAACAAAGGCAACTCTAAACAGATGGGGGGTTTAAAACGTAAAGGGACTAAATGTTTTGGCAGTTTCACAGTTTTCTGAAAATTTGTTCCAGGAAGCTTTATTGCTCAAAGAATTGAACAATCAACATTGCTAATCAAAGAAGACAAAATCCTAAAACACACATAAAAAGCACAAGAATAAATGAAAATATTAAATACAAAGGAGTGAACAAAATAGACCTTTAAAGCAATAATAACGTGCTGAAGAGGCAATAAAGAAAGGAACACAAACATAAATGACTCCCTGGGATAATAACAGGTCTTTATTGTCACAGCTTGACGTGAAATTAAATTTCAGACACATTTCCACTCATATAGACATAATTAACTTAGAAGTACTTCAAAGGTTCAGATGGAGTGTACAGTTCTCGATTTCAAGCAGAATGATTCACAAAGCGTAGCGCCGCACAACAGCTTGACCCCTGTATACGAGACCAATTAGTCGAGCTTTTGTTTTAGAAATGTTAACCGTTGTAGTTCAGGGCTCTCCGGCTCTTCGACAGTGAGGTGTGCCGCTTTGAAAACGAGCAGCACTCGGCGACAAAACCCAAAATAGAAACCCCGAAACGTCGGGACAATTAGCATACCGGCTCTCTGACCTCTTTGTCTCTAGCCAGAGTACGTGACCAGCGTTTTTTATCAGCAGACTGTACACTTACACGCCCACAACTTGTCGTAAATCCAAGTCGTGATGGTTTTGTTTGTGTGGAACTTGGAGTATTGCATGAGTCACCGGGAGTAGCTGTGGACAACAAAGAGACGGAGACTGGTTTTGGTTGCAGGAGCGGTGATATGTGCAGTGATATCCGCGCCCGGTGTTTATTCTCCATTTGAATCCAGCAGTTCTTGTCTCTCCACGTCGACGGGAAAGGATGGAGCAGAACAATGAGCGAGTTTTTAATTGAATGAAGGCAGCAGAGGCAATCCGTAAGCGCCTCGTGGCTTCGACGCTTAATGGGGATAATAATGTAGACACAAAATAAGCGCGCGCTGACCTTTTTAGGAAGAGATGAAATGCATGACAACAGTTCCTGAAAAGATAACATGGCATGAGACGAGTTTCTTATAAACCCCATTTCTGTTTTTCCAAACTGTTCCCACTTGTTTTGTATATTTAATGTCTTATAATTAAATCAAAACTAGAGTGTCTGTCCTTTTGAGACTCATAGTACTTTCCTTTAATATTATAAACTGCTATAATCTAATTTATTTATTTGAGTTCCTGCACTGTGTGAGATAATTAATGCTCAGCGCATCAGATAGCATGGCCTAAAGCTACACACTTTGAAAGTTTTCATCTGTGTTAATTTGACTCCTACTGACTTGTGAGAAACATGAAACTGATCCATCTGACCTATAACATTAATCAGATTCTACTAAATATATATATATATATATATATATATATATATATATATATATATATATATATATATATATATATATATATATATATATTCTTGTCACTTTGCTCCAAATATAAAAGCTAGTGCTAGGGATGGGCATTTATTGTATTGTTTATTAATTTTTGTGATAAATTGCTTGACACAAGATTTTTAAGTTATCATTGTCACAATAAATTCTAGTGGTGTTAAAAAAAATTTAATAAGTTTTTCACGAGAGCATAAATAAATAGCAATGATTTCAAAAATATGATTAAATGGAGTCTCTATGCATTTTAGTGATATAAATCACACTTCTTTAAGTATATGGCATCTTGAAGAAAATTATTTTAAATAGAAATGTCAGTATTTATGTTTTCCGTCATGCATTTACCTTAAAAAGTATTACATAAACTTATCATTTTTATTGTCATCACAATAGTACCTATCTTAATTATAAGATAAGATGGGTACTATTGTGATAAAATTGTAAGCCCATATTGGCCACCTTTAACACGTTAATTTTGATCAAATTCATTTCAATGCATTTAATCCCTTTTTTTATATATATATGTAGAAAAGTCCCAACCCAACCTTTGTATTTCTGTGTTTCTGGTACGCCCGTAAATCTGACACACAAGAGACATTGATGGCCTACAAAATCGCTTCTTTTGGCCGACTGGGGTTTAATTTTGCTTCATATCTGCTGGGACTGGAAACGACTAATGTAAGTTGTGCTAAAAGGAGTTTAGCCTGTTAGTGAAGCTATTGAAGCCTAAAATAGCATCTCAATTCAATTCTAATTCAATTCAAAAATACTTTATTAATCCCCACCCAAAGGGAAATTAAATGCTGTTGTAATTCATATTAATTTTAATTATTCAAAGAGTTAGTGTAGATAGTGATGGCTAATCAATAAAGTTAAATATGCAGCAGCAGCACAGACGTTTCCGACGCTAAAGAATCTATTATAGATTTGATCTGTGCACCAATCAGGTGGCTGAATAAAATAAATAACATATCAAAAACAATAAATATATTTGTTGTTGAGCTCATATGTTTACCTATTCTGGAATTTAGCAGAAAAGGATTTTTCGAATTGAAATTTAGCTTATTTTGTCGATAGATGGTTTATGATTAATTACAGTTAAATTAATTCATTAGAGTTCCACCACCAGATGAAAATCAAATTTTTTTAATTTGTATTTTAATAGAAAACTTTTTTTTTTCTTTTACTAACCGGTAACATCACCCTTCATGGTGGTAGTTTTCTTCCTCGCTTTTTGACCACCGTGAACCTAAAACTAAACCCACCTTAACCAACAACAATTTCCTAATCTTTATGACTCATTTATTTTTAGACGCCTTAGTTTAGAGTTTGCCTATTCAAATTAATTTGCTTTGTGCAGCTGTCTCCAGCTCCGAGCTCATTTCTCTCCGCGCCAAACTCATTTACGCCTAATTATTTCGACTTTGTTCCGGTTTTTCTTGTATCATTCTCAAGGGTTTCTTTGTCCTCCCCCGTTATCTCCCAGCAGCAAAAGACTCCTGTTGGAGGTATTGATGTGCAACGTGGAGGTGGAGAGATCCTCAACCTTATTAAGGCGAGGAGACGTTCTGCAGGCAGCCATTGTTCCCCTGGGTGTGCAGGTGGGCGACAGAAAAAGGTGCGTTAGCACAAATGTACAACAGGCTTACGTGACTAATTCAATTTCCTTAAGTTTTTGTATTTTTATAAATAAATATTTTTTTTATCTGCTGTCCACAGAGATAAAACTTTGTTTTTGTGGCATTTCCACTTGGACAACAGTATTTGACGTATAACAAAACTTGTGTTGCTGAAATTTGTAAGATAATTTAATGCAGCCACATGCTCTTTACTTTGCTCACAAAATCTGTATTTAAGCGACTGAATTGGACACCATTATGGTTTCTAAACCTTGTTTCTAAGTTTCTGGTTTAAAATTAAGATTTTAATATATTGGTATTTTAGAGGGATATTCTGCAATCTGTACCATTTACCTGTTATTTGATTTGTAGTATATGAATTTAAGCAAAAATACAATTAAATTCAAATTTTTTTGTAACAATATATACTTTCAGTCATATCTTTTTGCTATTTCTTTAAATTATTTTTCTCCCATTTGGATATTAATATCTTTAATACCAAACACAAATCTGCATTAATCTTACCAACTTAAATTCTAAAATTGAGCTATCATGACTAGAAACATTTCCCAATGGCTGCTGGTGGAGCTTTGGTTCCTGGAACTGGGCTGTCTGGTCCGTCTGTAACTACAGCAAGAGCTTTGTCCACGTTGTTGGCATAAAGTCAAACTTGTTTTCAATCCGGGTTGTTTAAGATGTTCACAGAAAGAATTTCAAGTCCTTAAAGGGACAGCATCATGTTAAATCAACTTTTTTGAGCTTTACATCATGTTACGATGTTATCTCTTCATCAAAAACTAATCCTCAGAGCTGCAGTTTCCAAGTTCCTAGCTTCCACACTTGGCTCCTAGTTTAGCCAGCAGCAATTAGCAAACACCTGGTGGAACTGCACCATTATATGAGCTACTCCTCAGTGAATCTCTGCAAAAAACTTTATTGAAGGCTTAATAGAGGAGCCATGTTGTGATGACTTCCTGAAGATGGAGCTCAATGTTAAGGTGTTAAAATTACAAAGTCCAATTTCTTCTAAGTCATATTTGATACATACAGCATTTTTATTACAACTGAAAGTAACATAGTTACTTGATTATGTCACTATGTGGCTGGAAAATAGATACTACCGCCCCTTGAAGAGGAAGATGGGAACCTCATGTTTTATGTTTGGCTTTCTGCTGATGCATTCAGTACAATGAAAGCACATATTGGGACATGTTTATTGAAAAGATAAGCTCACATTGACAAAAAGTACTTGTATTGGCACACAACTTTTCATCTCTTAACAGGACTATAATAAAAATAACAGCACCAGTAATTCAACACATACAAATTTTAACACATACTTATGGCAATTAATATCAATCAAGCCAGTAAAAACATGCCATTTGTGCCATTCAGAGTTGGAATTGAATCCGCCCCAAGTGAACAGGCTACAGCATGTTCAGTAGGATGTATGTGGGTGGCGGAATAAGCAAAGGCTCACAGGGCATTACTTTAGTTGCCATATGGGCTTGACAGCAGGGCAGTGGTCAACCTGCCAAGGTGGATCACGGCACCAGACCAAATGTCGTGTTCCTGTCCCTCCAGCAGCCGTTACGGTAGTGGGCCCACAAGAAACGTGACTATGGTGTGAGCTTAATGTTGGTTTTTCTGAAAAACTTAATGCTGATTTTGTCCCAAATAGAGGAATTAACGTATTGTAGTGGATGTACAGTTTGTTCGGATCTCCATTAGCCATTGCCATAACCATGGCTACTCTTCCTAGGATCCACATCATTATAAAAAGACATTCATTACATTACATTAGCAACAAAGCACACTTAAATGTACAATTGCAACATTTCATATAATAAAATAAATAAGCAGGGCTCTTTTTAAAAGCTTTAGATTTTGCTATGTTTAAAACAGATGATGGGCGTGAGTTTCATTTTTTCATTTCTTTAAATATAACTGGTCGTTTGAATAAAGGAAAAGTAAAACAAGCTTTTAAAGAACACCTTGTATTAAAACTATGTAAAGATTGGCTAAATAAAAGTTGATTTTATGAAACATTTGGTATCATAGAAACTGCAACTACAACAAAAAAGCATGAAAGGCCAATTTCAAAGTTCTATTTAACCAAGGGCCAACTTATGCTTTGTGCATACTGATAATATTTGTGAATATGGAACAATTCAGCTGCCCTATTTTGGAATATGGAAGACATTTTGTGTAATAAAGAATTCCCTCTCCCTTTGGAGTTATTGTGTTTCCGAAATGTGAAGTAGAAACTTGCCAGCAGCTCTCGTAGAACTCTGAGAATACACAGTTCAAACATAATGAAAATTTAGATAATAGTTTTGGCTGTTTTTGTCGTCAGTGTTGTAATTTTCAATCACATTTTGCTGCAACTAACAATCCCCCAGACGTGCATACACATACCCGAATCAGAACAATAATATTATTGCAAATTATCACAGTTGTATAAATTTTTTTGAAATGTACCTATTTGATTTTTTTTTCATAGCACACATCTAAAATATGAAAGATAACCCAGCTTGGGAAACTGAAATACATACGCACAATGCTACTGACAGGCTATTGGATAGCATTTGCAAAGGAGCCAATCCAGGTTTGTGGTCCTTGGCTCTGATTGGCTGTACCCCCAAGAGTGAAAATAAGGAAGACTGGAGATTGTCACTTCTAGAGTAAATTTCCACTGAGTGTACTAATACATGTTATGGTACATTTGGTGTGTGAATTATTAAAATATGGAGTTGTAAGTGTTTTTATTCGAGTGGGTCTCAAGTATCTGTGTATCTCAACTGTTCCAGGGGGTCAACTGTATTGCATTTAAGAATTACGTGCCTTCAGGTTGCAAAGGTGACTGGAAAGGTTCTCTTCAGTAAAACAGTAAAGGGTCAACAAACTGTGGCTGGTGATCTATAAATACAAGTGACCTCATCCTACAGACCAGGACAGCTTCAGGAGATACTCAGCTCTTAGTCGACTCTGACATAACTTCAGTCTTCTATGTATTGCGCCCTTGGGGGTTCCTGCGTCAATAGCGGCTCGTCTTTGTCTTTTCCATTTAACTAGAGCGTGGCAATACAGATCTCTGACTCTACAGACGTTCCATTTATAGGTTCACGCAAACAACAAGAGCACAGCAGTGCCTGTGAGGGATGAGATCAAATCAGATATTGGACAATTATGGCAGATTCTGCAGATAGGAAGACTTTTAATGCCTCAAGAAACAGGAAAATTACGGAGGGCCTACATCAATATTCGTGCCCACACACACTCACATACTCACTTACTGACGCTGTTATCGGTGATACGATCTGTCCCCAGGGGATCATTGCCATTGGCTCATGTGTCCTGCTGACATTGCCTGAACATGGCTAGGTAGTCTGAACAACACATACACTGTAGGAATGTGACAAAGACGGTGACTGTGGGGAAGCTAGCTGCTGTGTCTTTGTGGAGGGGAGCAAGGATGACGAACACAATGAGGAAGGTACAACTGGAGGACACACAGAGAGAGAGAAAGGAGAGAGAAGCTCGAAGGATTTTTAATTAATGTCTTGTGGATGGCTTGATGTAAATCCTGAGCTGCACATCTGTTGCTACAAGAAAATCCCTTAAAACCAATTTCACTGTTTTTATTTTTATTCTTCCTCACTAATTACATTTCTTGCTCTTCCGCCCCTCTGGCAGATCAAAAAAAAAAAAAAAACTTAATTTAAGCCATCATTCCAGAAACAAGCATGGTTTTCATATTGAGAACATTACTGATGTTCTAACATGAGTCCAAAGACAGGATTCTTTCCCATGGGAAATCTGGACAGGTTATGGAAGCTATATGTATAGAAGAAGAAAAAAATGAAGTTGGAGAATTTTCTGTCTACAATGGCCCCCCACTGTAGACAGAAAATTCTCCAACTTCATTTTTAAATAGTACTTTCTCCCTAATGCCTAGTTCACACTGCAAGATTTTCATGCCATTTTTTTTGTCCTGATTTTTCCCTTCCGACAATCGTAAGTGCGTTCTGATTATGGGAATGGCGCTTAAGATAATCTTTAGAGACATTCTTGTTGAGTGTGGTGTTTTCAGAGTGATCTGCCAAAACACGGCATGGTGTCCAAATAAATAAATAATTTGATTGATAAAGCTGTGTCCACCCCACACTGCGGTGCTGACTTCACCATTTATACATCCAAATGGAAACAAAGACATCAATGGAACACCTTAACATGCACATAAAAATCCAAACCTCCAATCAATCTTTGACCTTTTGGACGAGCCCCCATTTGTTATGTCCTGGCTAAAAGACCATAACAGAGAACATTGGCTTTATGCCCTGTAATAAAAGTATTTATTACAGAAGTAATGAATACCTAACAAAAGTCAGGAGAATGTTGAAGGCATGCCGGCCTTACCACAGAAGTCGCTGATGAGAAGAGCCTCTTGGTGGCTGTGGTGGAAACCCTTTTTAGCCTCAAACACCCCAACACCCGAAACCTTCATGTGATCATTGGATATCCACCTTTCCGGTACATCAATAGAAGAGCAAACAATTACCAGGCCACACTGTGCCAGCAGGGGGCACAATCCAGAAAAAAAGTTACTCAGGTCAACTTATCATGCAAAAAAGTAATTAATCTTAAAACTTAACAAATGGTTATGCCACTCTTGGCCTCAGCAGCTGCCATTTGGGGTTGTTTTTCTTTACAGAATTATTTTAAATCAGCCACATTTATTAAACTTTGACTGAAAATCTGAAATAACAATTGTTTAACAGAATAAAATGGAAAGGGGAAAATACTGTTTTACAGCACTTTGCATCAGACATCTTATCAAACAAACTTGTGACAGTAATAAAAGTGAGTTTTCATGAAAACATTGCTGTCGTTCTCATTATACCAAGCACTATTACATTTAATCTTTTTTAATGTAAGCATCCCCTCCCTTATATTGGTTCCCTCTGACCATGCATGATCTACTATCAAAGGACCATCTCAAATTACTCTAAATAATGAATTAAATTTGATGAATGGAGGTGCAGAGCGGTCGGCTTCTCTACCACCCCGCCTCTCCGAATCAGTCTGTCGAGCGAGCCAATCCATTGCTCCAGTCGTGTCTGACACTTCCCACAGTCTCCTCCTTCTCCCCCCTTGCTTATATAGTCTGTGAGCATCGACATCACAACACACAAACCATGCAGGCTGCTGAGGAGGCGAGCCTGTGCTGGCAGCAATCTCCCATTGATGGACAGAGAAATAACAGGGTGAGTGCTTCCGCTGTCTTATCACCTTTCATGTTTCACCTCATCCATTCAGCCTCTTTTTTTGTAAAAGTTGCAGGTACAACTTAATTTGTAAGGTTATTTTTTATGCGTCTTGTACTATTTTCCTCCCCCCTCTCACCTCCTGGTCTATTTTCAGCTCTTTTCATTCTTCTCTTTCCTGCTGCAGATAAATGCTGACAGCAAACCTTACGAGTAAAAACACTAGAAGCAACGTCAGCGTCAGTTTCAGAGAATCCTACCGCTACGTCAGAGGCAGCGGTATAGTGGCATTCAATACAAGGCGCGCTGACAGGACCAGCGTCAGGCAGCCGTTCTCACTCTGCTCCCCAAGGACAGCAGCTCTGGGATGGGCTGCTCCTCTGGACGCCAGCCCCCGGCTTCGGTCCTTCACCCAGACCTGGACTTTGGCAACACCGGTGAGGCTAACACCTCACTCCAAGACTCCGACAACCAAAACCAGAGCCTGAGCGGCTGCGGAGAGGGAGCCGACGGGGAGGACAGCCTCGGACGGGGGCAGGCCAGACCCCCGGAGTCTCTCCACACCCTGGAGAGGCTCGCCCAGGCAACGGGCGGCACGGAAAAGTCCTGGTACCGCTGCGTCTTCCCGTTCGGCGTGATATCGCTCGTGATTGGCATGGCGGGCACCGGGGTGACATTCACCTTCAACACCCTGCCCCAGACTAAAGTGGTGTCGGTCGCGCTGCTGTGCACCGGCGTGGTGATGCTGCTTGTGGCGGCCGTTTGTTGGAGGGCCCACAGACTGAGAAGACGGAAAAAGAAGGAAAGTGGATTCTTCACTGCTGATCAGGGCACTTTGTGACAGAGCAGGGACTTCTGCTGGACTGTCACAGAGCTGAGTGGGTTTCCACTCAGCACTCACTGATGAAGACTTGAACGACGCTGGTATTATTTAGATGAGGGGGGCTTTGGTGAGCTCTGATAAATAGTATCAAAGTTGAAGTCACTTTTCTTATTGTTATTGAGGAGTACCAACTCAAGAATTTCCTGATGTGACACCCTAGCAAAAATACAGTATAAACACAAGTTTAGTTGTAGTTTGTAAAATCAAAAGCAGTCAGCTGCTGTACAGACATTCCACCCCAGTAAGAGTGATTAAGAGTGATGGGTGGTGCCTCAGTGCAGCTATCATTTTTCTTGACTGGAACCATTTCCAAGTCAACAAATCTGTCTGTCTAGAAGATGATTGCAAGAGCATGCAGCAACAGGTGCGGGAGGCACTGTGCTACCGTATTTGATTTTGGCTTCTCCTTAAAAAGACTTAAACAGTCGAAACTATATGTATTGACATTTTTATGTTTTTGAAAACTCTTACCTTCTTAAAACCCAGAGACAGGAGAGGTACTTCTCCTGTTGCCCACTTTGGGTTTGAGGAATGCTTTCAACAAAGGCGCCTCAGGAGTAGCAGTTTATTATGTCATTATTTTCTCCCTGCAGCTTCACGTGAGACAGAACAATAACCTTTGAACATGTACTGCCAAGAGTAGAAATACGCACCGGTCAAATCTAGTCTTTGTGCTCCGGTTTGACAGTTGAATGTGCAGCTGGTTAAGGAAGGAAAAGCAGCATCTTTTTTTCCCTCTTTCACTACAAATGGAGCTGAATAGTAACAAGAGCTCATAATGGCAATATTACTTCATTGCTAAATGAGTTTCCTTTCATTACAGGGCAGTGAGTTTTCCTGCATGGTCTACTTAGAGTGCAGTGGTTCATTAGGAGAAAGCAAACAGTTTTGGTCAGGTTTTTTTTTTTTTTTTAAACATTTACAGATGTCATAAAATTTGGCAAAACAATATGCAATACTCAGCGAGTTGACTTTTTCTGCAAAATTATTCACGTACAAATTTCTGTCTACATTGTAGTTTCATCCATCCATTCATCTACCCACTTGTTCTAGGCGGGTCACGGGGGGAGATTGTGCCTACCTCCAATGGTCAGTGCATAAGAGGCCTGGTACACCCTGGACAGGTCACCAGTCCATCACAGTAAATCAAACAAGCATTGCCTTTATCTCTCGTCATCCATCTTAAGTCTCAAGTAATAGACCTTTGGCATTACTGGAACTTTTAATCTAGTCACTAATGATTTATACAGTCTATATGGCATGGAAATCCCACTATAGATGTCTTACTGAGTTCAAACTGATAAAGCTAATGTGGATTTCTCCCCCAATGTTTTTATCTAATGAGGGAAATTAATGATTTTTTCTCTTCAAGTCTCACTTTTTTAAAAAGTTCTCATTCTGGTTGCCATTCATTCTCTTGTTTTAAGTTTATTTATTAAATAGGAGCTTGTTGTTAAAACAGTCTATTCTATTTTAAGTCTCATTCACAAAACACTTTTGTCTTTTAGTCGCAACAAACTTCCCTCTAGTAGTTTGTTATTCACAAAAACAAGGCAGCTGTACTCAATGCAATTAGTAAGTAGGTGAAATCTATTATGAACTAAATAATAACTAATAAATGGAGACACTACCCATGGCTAATGACACACCACACTGAGGCATTCCTGGTGTGTTTTCGCCTTAAATCCTTCAGTCGGTGTGTCACATCCTGGAGAAAAACTGACAAACCTTTTCATAAGTCAACCTGTACATCACGACCTAATTCTTACAATGTGCTTATTATTATTATCTCTCCAAAGTTAAAAATGAATATAAATCCTAGCAGTTAGCATTTATAGTAAAGCTATGTGGGCCACATGCTGTATACACAGTGGTAAAGCTAATGAGCATCTAGCTAATTTAGCTAACGTGAAATGATTTACTAAATTGTTCCACGATGCTAAATGTAAGAAATGTAAGTACTTACCTTACTTACCTGTAAGGTAAGTAAGCGTACCTTAGAGTAGGCTTACTTACTTAAAGTTCTTTAACTCAAATAATACATTTATTTGAGTTAAATAAGTATTTCGTACAATAACCTGACTGATCTGTGAAGAAATGTGAAATCCTGCTCTGTTCTTGTTGAGCTAATATGTAGCATTCAAGCTAGCCAAAACAGCTATGGTAGCATACAGTCACTACCAGCAGTAATGGGGATTTGAGATAGACCCAGCAGTATCACATGAGCTCCAGAGTTTTATTTTATGGATGTTGTTGGATAAATATTGTCTCTCTGATCTCATCTTTTGTGTGAAATGTTAACATTTGTGGAGAAGCAGCTAATTCTTGTGAGTTATTTGCAGTTTCTTTGAATTTTTTTTATGGTTCGTTACAAATCTGTGTGGTATAAATGGAATTTATTTGATGACAGTAATTCTTTTTTGAGACTGGGTATTCCTACAAATTACATATCATGGATCTATTGTACTTCTTATTATCCATAAGAGTGTAGCCACATTTATGAATGTCTCTTTAACAGTGTCTTATTATCATTCTTGTATAAAGAGTAAAAACCCTGTGTATTTTTAAGTGGAAATATATTTTGTAATGTCGTAGAGAATATAATTGAGGCCTTTCACTGCTATCCTTATATTTCTATTTAGGATGTCTGGTTGTAATGACTGTAAATTTGTTCATCTGAATGTTAAATACACATTTCATTCCGAAAACGAGAATCTGCCATTCCACTCAGATGCTGCATATAAATATGAAGACTTTCTTTTGCATGGAGGACATAATCATCTGTCTTTATTTACTTCAGTGATCAGAAACTTTTGAACATTTTAGTTTTGGAATGAAACGCATCAATTGGTTGTTGTTAGCTTGCTTTGAGTCTAGCAGAATGGTCAAGCTTATCTCTCAGTGCCTTTTTTCTTGCTATGTAAAAAGTTCTACGTAAAGTGCAGTTATTTGTGAGCTGTGAAGGCCGACCGGTGCCAGTGTTAGAGTAGCCCAACAGAGAGGCAGAAATACTGCGGTGTATCCAGTAAAAGTCAGGTTCAAGTCTGTGGAAGTGAACTGGTGTGCATGAAGTTACTGTCGGATGTGGTTCCTTTGGTCTAACTGCCTGAAATGCCAAAAATATTAATCAAGAAGTTTATTTTTACGTCTTTCAAATGTCTGTAAAATTGTACATTTTTTCTTGTTCACTGTAGTTCAAAGCACATAATTAAAACCAAGGTTAGTTTTTGGAAACAGGCTGTGATAGTATTTTTATTTGTTAATTTAATCTTTATTGGGGGTTAGTCCAGGACTCTTCTTCAAATGACATATCCTTAAACGGTAACACTTTATTTGAAGGGGGGTGAATAAGACTGTCATGCCACTTTCATAAACATGACATAACACCTGTCATGAACATGAATAAGCCTTCATGAATAGTTATGACTGTTTTCATAAAGCGTCATTCAGTAAATTATGACACTTTTAATACAAAGTTGACATTATTCAAAATGTCTTTGATATGACAACTTGATATTAACCAAGAAATCATTACTGATATAAATTTGTTATAAAAGTATTACTGATTGCACTTTAAAAATTAGGTAACTTTATGTTATTAAAGGTTTATTAAAGTTTAAACAGTAATGATTTACCAAAAATCTTACTTTTTTATTTATTTTGGCTGTCTGTCTTTGGTTTCAGCGTGATTCCTGTAGCTATCTCTGACTGCCCTCTTACACTGCAAATACACAAAACCTTACCAAGTATTTTTGGTTTGGTTTCTAGTAAAAACTTCTTAGTACACTTAAATTTAGACAAAACTATCTTGCAAGTAACTTTCAGCAAGATATGGGAACTTCTTCTAAGCAAATAATCACTTAATATTGATTTTTTAAAAGTATTTGATATATTGGCAGATTATTTCACTTATAACATGGAAAAATCTTGTTATATGTAAAATAATCTGCCAATCTGAACTGGTACTTTTTTTCATTAAAGTTAAGAATTATTTACTTAAAACAAGCTCCTATTTCTTGCTGAAAGTTACTTCTAAGATAATTTTGTCTTATTTTAAGTGTTCTATGATATTCATACTAGAAACTAGACAAACACACTTGGTAAGATTTTGTGTTTTTTGCAGTGCACCGCTGCTGCAGCCTGCCAGAGGATTGATTTGGAACAACCTTTAAAGTTCTTTCATGTTGGCCATCTTTTTGTCTGGGAAAATGCAGAAGCACAGTGTGTAACTCAGAGGAACTGTGTGTATTACAAATGAGGTTGGATCCAGGAATCTGAGGTACGGCTGTTAAATATCACTCAGTCCCAAAAAATATATATTCCTATCATTATTCAGCTACTCAAATCCTCTCTAACTGTAGAAGTCAATGCTCGCTAACATCCGTGTATCTTGTAATTTATTGTGCTCCAGTTATTAGTCATGCCAGTCATTCCAGAGTGTGAAAGGAGCGTGCTCCACAGATTTCCGCTCATAAATCCGCACTCATCGCTTCCCCCCCCCCCCCCTCTACTTTAGCGAGTGCAGCTGTTTCATATGAATATTCAAATTAGCACACGTCTTGATTCTGCCCACGCTTTTTTCCCCCCAGTTTCTCCTCCCCTCTTTTCCTCCGCCGAATCTACAAAGGGCCGTGTCGTCCTCTCTCCCTCTCTCCTCCTGCACGGAGGCTAAAAATAGCTCGGTGTGATGTCAAAAGCAAGAGAGACGGGCAGCTAGAAAGGCGGGCCGCCGGCTGAGCGACGAATGTGTGAAAAGGGGAAAGCAGGAAGGCTGTTTAATTGAACCGCACACTTTTCACGACAGTTAATGGCCTCTAGATGGGCAGAGAACAGCTTTAAAAAAAGAAGTGGCTATTTCCTGCGAGTCATCCCCAGCAAATTTCAGATTAAATAGAATAGAGTAGAATAGTCCTTTATCGTCCCTGAGAGGGGAAGTAAAGGTGACAAAGTGACAATCAAATTAAAACATGCAGATACACATAAAAATGAGCTGTAGCAATAAAAAAATAACAATAACCTGAGGAAAAACTAGTTGTGAAAAATTGCAGATGCAAACTCTTCAACTTTTGCTCCAGTCACTGACTTTGTTCCTTCTAATATGATCACAACATCAGCTCTTTAAAAGTTTTTACTCATTAGCGTTAGCCTGAAGCTTTGCAGCTGTGTTCAGGCTTTATTTAATCATTTATTGGTCTATATTTTCTATTCCATGTGTAGCCGAGTACAAAAATCATATTGTTTTTCTTAATGTAGCTTCCAACATTTATAGAACTGTGGCATCTGTGCATTATAACACTCATACAAAGGCATATATTCATGGATGGGTGGAAACATGTTTACAAAATGTCGCCAGGCAACAACACAAACCTTTACTTTTATCTTACTTCATGTCAGTTTGAAATAAATAAATAAAATGGAGTGAAATAAATAAATAACTGTGAATGATGTTCCTTTATTTGAATTTCCCTCTGGAAGACAACCGTCATACATTAGTCAACTTACAAACTCTTTGTTGTCATTATATAATGACAACACCAAAAGTTAAAAACAAGTTTTTCTGACATTAACGAGCTTTTTTTTTTGACGGGTCACACGTGCGGGCCCAAAATAACGGGGTCCATCAAAGGACAGCGCAGTGAAAGCTCTGACCTCTCAGATGGGTATTGTGTTGAAACAGAGGGTCACTGTTTCACAGGCAGAACACAGCGCCGGGGTTTCAAAGGTTGCCTCTTTCCAGGCTTGTGCTTTTGGTCAAAAATAAACTAATGTTTCTCTGCATCTGAGCCAGGATGGAGCACTGATTAATGTAAAACAACAACAAAAAGTGTTGGCCTACATATATTCATTCCCCGACACCCGGCAGCACTGCTCAACTCAGCCTTGAAATAAAAGTGATGTAGATGTAGCTTAAATATGAAACGTAATTGCATGTTGACTATGTAAACGTAAGACAGCCGTCTGATTCACGTACATTTTTGGCCAGTTTATTCAAAACTGGTGTTGCTACATGTGGAAAAATGCCATTAAAATATAAACACTTGCTCACAAATTAATTGCAGTGACATTAATGAAGAGCCATTTGACATAATTGTGGTGATTAACAAAGGGTAGCAATTTTTCACTTTTTATCTCAACTACAGTCGTATTCAGAAAGCTTGAATATCACTGAAAAGTTTTTTTTCAGTGAAACATTATATACATTAATTCCACGCAGACTTTTGTTTTCAAGACTTCAATTGTGTTTATTATTAGGATTCACTGCTGACAGCCAAAGAAAACACATTTAATTTTCTTGAAAATGAGAATATTACATCAACAAAAAACTGTTTCATCATGGAAATGTTTGACTGCCACAGCGAGAAAAATAAAAACAGGAGCTCAATCTCTTTAAAGCAATAAAGAGAATGCTCATTATAACAAGATATAAAACTCCTCGTAATGAGATACCGGTCCTGTATTTATTTCCCATCTGTAGCAGGTCAACACTTTTGTAATTAATACCTGCTTGAAGGCTTTCAAACAGTACTTTTAATATGTAAAAGAGCCTAATCAGAATGCATAATCTGATTTATGGTATATAATTATTTTTTAATTGTCTGTTATGATCAAAACAAAGAAGAAGACAAAAACAAAAGATAAATCCCTAAAGAAGAATCAAACTTAAAGGAATCGGATAACTGCTGATCAATTATCTCCTTTGCCAAGTCATACTCCCATTTTGTCATTTTCTCTCTTTTTTGCTTCAAACCCAAAGTAAAAAATCTTTTATTAGAGATTAAATTGTATATTTTCTGATACTTTATTTCTGTTTTGTCATATCTTGGTTGTTGTTTTTTTCTCTTCATTTTTACTTTCCTTATCTGTGGTTCTCGTTGCTCCTCCATCTCTTTGTTCCAGTAATCAAGCTCCCAGTATTTAACCTGCTGTCTCCTTCATGCTCCCTGGTTCTTGTCTGTTACTACTGATCTTATATCCTGTCTCCCTTGTTTTTGTAAATTCTTGTTTAATTATGTTTTAGCCAAAATATTTCATAATTTACTCATTGCCTCTGCCTCTAATCCACACCTTGGGTCCAACAACCACAGAAAATCATAACTTTATTTGCATTTTCGTCCCTTTTGAGACATGAATATATATATATATATATATATATATATATATATATATATATATATATATATATATATATATATATATATATAAAAACTGCTTTGAGTGACCGACCTCCTGCTGTTTAATCGTATGAACGAATAACTACATTTTCTTAGAATATAATATAAATAGATTTTAGAAAGCAAATTTAAATTCTACTGAGTACAAAATGTGTCTCTGGACGGTACAAAATGTCCAATGACAGATGGTGTCATTTTCTCCCTGCAAAATAAAAATGGCTAAAATGTACCAAAAGTCAAAAATAGCGAATGGACAAAGTGATCAGCACCCATCAAGGCAGCAATGGAGGTGCTGGAAAAGTGATACTTGAGTGTCTTTGCCAACCATTTTGAGGAAAATTTAGACCTCTCATGTTACTCTGTAAAACCAGCAACTGGCAGGAAATCCAGCAGTTTCTTCTTGTGTCATTGGAGATCATGACAGGAAAGCACATTTCATTCTTACTTGCCTGTCCCAGAGTCCTTTCACATACACGAAGCTGTGGCTTTTAAAAAATAAAACCATTTCACCATTTCATTGTCTCTTTTTGGTGAACTGGTGAATAGGTTTCTCAAAAAAGTTTTCATGTTCAATTGGCTTTTCCTAAAAACGAGTTAATGGGGAAAATGGAGCAGATAAAAGCACATTAGTCAAATAAGTTTTGACTTAGCAAACTCTTTCATCCACTGGTGGGTCTGTGCCTTACCAGAGGCACAAAACTCTAAAAAAATTTCAAAGTACAAAACTCCAGAATGAATGGGGGAACTATACTGTGGTGTGGCTGATTTGCAACATCTACATTTCGTTTATTACAGCCGTGTGTAGCGTAAACATCTGATTAAGTTAGACTTAGCGTAGCCTGGCTGATTGTCTCCAAATCAGCAGATGGAAACATGCCTAGTTGGCTTTTTTTTTTTTTTTGCAACATTTAAGAGATGGGGTTATTTGGACCTTACAAGACTTTTACTTTGTACGCAGTCCAGCGGGATCACAATGATCCTCCGTGTGTTTTTATGAGGTGTTTTTTTCATGTGTGTCATTTTGGGAACTGACGGTCTGACAGAACAACCTCTCTGCTTCCC